TCAGTTAAATTGCTTTAAATTTCTTGTACTAATACTCCAAAAAGAAACAACTAAAACTAATTTTAATCCTAGGATATTTTTGTCTTATTTGCTTTTATCAAGAGTTTTAGGAGGGGAGATTGGGATTTCAATTACATTATTTTTCCCTTCTTAACTTTCATCTAAGCCATTTCTCACAAGAAAAGTAAACTGCAGTGATAACTTCAAAGGCACAAGAAAGCTGTCTTGAACTCTTCAAGGTTTTGAGTTCTTATCAGTTAATGTGAAGATAATGAATTTGATTAATTGCCTTGTGGGTGCTGGGAATCCAACCTGGGTCCTATGTAAGAACAGCCAGTGCTCTTAACCACTAAGCCATCTCTCTGGTCCTGTTAGTGAGTTTGGTACTAGACAAATGATGAGCTCAAATTCAACCTCTGATTTCAAGGTTGTCTAGCTGGACAGACTTAAACAAGTGAATTAGTATTTGAATCTCAGTTGCAGTATTTGTTAAATAGGATGAATAACCTTGTAGCTACCTCACACTGTGGTGAGGATTTAGCAGAAAAGTCCATGCAAAGAACAAGGTATGGTGCCTAGCACCAACAGAACGTTTGACTAATGAAATTTGGGGTTATTTTTCATTAACATGAGAAAGTTGATGCACAAAAGTAAACTGAACAATTTTATATGAGCTATTCTTGCTATTATAGAAATATTTCCTTTGTGTTGATAGTTCAGGAGGAAGTATCATGAGCCAGTACAGTTTCCCAACATAACTTGACCAGATCTATTTTTGCTCACTGTATCAATTTTCTCAGAGCTACCTTCACATCCTTGTTCCTTAGGGTGTAAATAATAGGATTGAGGGCAGGGGTAAACACTGTATATAGAAGGGAGAGCGACTTCAATACACCTTCATACTGGGGCACTGATGGGAAGCCATAGACAATGCCCAGTGTTCCATAATAGAGACTGACCACTGTCAGGTGGGAAGAACAGGTGGAGAAAGCTCGCTGCATCCCTGTGGCAGAAGGAATCCTCAGAATGGTGCAAATTATATGAATATAGGAAGCCAGGGTCAGTAAGAAGGGACCAAGAGCAAATAAAGAGGTGCATATAAAAGAAGTCATTTCAGCTGTTTCAGTATTTGTACAGGCCAGTTTCATGATGGGCTTGAGATCACAAAAGAAGTGGTCAATCTCATTGGCAGAACAGAATGTTAAACGAAAAATGAGGATCATGAGCAGGATGGGTGCCAGAAATCCAGCCAACCAGGAGGCAACTGCTAGCTGGAAGCAGCCCCAGAAGTCCATGATGTTGGAGTAGTGTAGTGGATTACAGATGGCTATGTAGCGATCATAAGACATTACAGTAAGGAAGAAGCATTCTGTAGCCACCAGGGAAGCAAAGAAATAAAATTGACACGCACAGGCTAGGAAGGAAATAGGCACATGAGCTGATAACAGGGTCCTTAGCATTATAGGCTCAATGGTTGTGGTGTAGCTAATCTCTAGGAAAGAGAAGTGACCAAGAAAGAAATACATCGGTGTGTGAAGGGAGCAGTCAGCTGATATCACGGTGAGGATTACAATGTTACCCATGAGAGTCATCACATAAATGACCAGAAATATTCCAAAAAGAAGAAACTGAAGGCCATGGAGATTACCAAAACCCAAAAGGACAATTTCTGAAATTCGAGTCATATTTTCTTCTCCAGTGATAGCCATTACTTGAATCTGAAAAAAAATTAGATAAAATTTGAAAAAGAATCATTGATCAATTCCTGTTATAGGAAAAATAAATACCCTTATGTATAAAATGAAACAGACTTTTATTGTGTGTTTTACAAATTCCCCATCAGTTAATTTATATGTTTTATGTTTCATCACAACAAAGAATGTCTGCTCCTTAAAACTTATTTGATAACAAGCTCTCTAAAACTAATGAGAGATTGTGGAGCAAAAGTGAGCTGCTGACAATAGAGAAGTGTGAAATGATGGAAAAAGACATACCTGATTTCAAATCACACTAGCTGTGTACCTTGGAGCAAGTTAAACTCCTTCTCTGAGAGTCACGCTCCAACCTATAGAATAGTAAATTATTGGTCTATATTAGATATATGAATGTCTAAAACTAAAACAAAACAGAAAAATGAGAGATGTAAGAATGAGAAAGAGGTAGTAAAGCAATAGTTGGAAGGGGAGATAGAGGAGAACTTCCTAAGCAAAAGACTAGGCTTTGAGCCAAAGAAAGATTGTGTTCTAAAAATCTAAACTAAAGTAAGGAGAAAAAGAGATAGAGAATGAAAGCACTGATCCCACATTTTGTAGCTGCTAAGAATGACCCAGCAGAGAGGGGAGGTTGATGATGCATAAATCAATGAGGAGATAATTTTGAGGAATGAGCATGAAATCTTTTAGAACATGAAAGTGAATGAAGTGTACAGCTCCAATACAACGGTGATCTTTCGATACAGAAAGGTACATCGTCAGTATTTTTTTTCCCAGGAGGGAGGCTGCAGAAAATAGCTGTTGATAAATTGCTATGTTTCATCTTAGGAAGACATATGAGTTTGCATCTGTGCCTCCTGTTTTCTCAATGAAGTATGAGAAGAGGTCATTTTGTGGAGTGGGGGAAGGCAAATGCATGTGGGAGGACTGAGGGCAGAGGAAACCTGCAAAACAGTTATATCTGGAAATAAGACTATATATTATATCCAACCAAAATAAATCCCATAGTTTCCAGGCAAGTATTGAGTGACAATTTGATATTTGAGATTATAAATTTAAGAAAGTACAGCTAAAATAATCGGATAGATCTAAAATCCTTGATAGAATAAATGAGTGTTTAATTCAAATTTACAGAATAACGGTCCCCCTCTGCCCCTGCATGCAGACCTGAACATCACTCATACAACTGCTTAGCACTTAGGTAACAGTCACAAAAACACATGCTAATAATAAATAAATTTGAAGTTGGGAAGGGGACATGTTGCAGCGTGGGGGGGTAGCTTGGAGGAAGAAATGAAGGTGGGCTAGAGAAATGGCTTCAGTTTAGATCGCTTGCTTCTCTTGCAGAGGACGCAGGTACAATTCCCAGCACCTACCCGGCAGCTAACAACTGTATGCAACTCCAGTTCCAGGGGATCTGACGCCCTCTTCTGACCTCTGTGGGCATTACATGGCATGGATGCACTTACATACATGGAAGCAATTCACTCATACACATAAACAGTTTTTTTTTTTAAAGAAAGAACAAGTAGATTGCTTTCCTGCGTGAACCTTTACATGCTTAGATGCCAGAGTAGAGTAAGCAGATAGTAGGTTAAAATCAGTTTGGGGCTTTTTCAGGTTAAAACAATGAAAGTGAAGGGGAGCAAGAGAATCAGAGTAGTTACAAAAAAAACAAAAAAACAAATTATACTGAAAGATTATAAGTGTCCCCCTCTTTCTTCCACTGGTTATCAAGTTGTGGGGTGCTGATGGTAGAATGGGATTTCGCCATATCATTTGATCAACCCCTGAATTAGAAAAGAAGGTACACACAGGTAAAGTAACTTTCTTAATATCTGATGTCTAGTCAATAGCAGAGCAGAAACTAACATCAAGTCTGCATATCGAATTCTTGCTTCTTCTATAATGGCATGTGTTTATTTATGGGTTTTGTTTTTTTTTTTTGCTGTTTTTCATTTTCCTCTACTGTCCTGAACTAACACCTTAATGTGTAAGATGTAAGCACAACTGAAAGAAGACTTACTTTTCATTTAGTAATTTGCATGTCATCAACATAATACCTTT